AAATTCGTTGTGCGAAATGCGAATTTAACTTTTGGCAAATCTGAGTAACTCTATGAAAAAAGGCCTTGTGCACCTCCGAATTTTATCAATACGCAATTGAAATTCAATTACGTATTATGTTATATGCAGCGTTGTCCTTTGGGCTATTTGGTCCAAAGGACAACACTGTTATATGTTACTGATCAAATTCTTCAAGGTTTTGTTCGGTAAGTTATATAATTGGAAGCCCGAGGCCTTATTTTCTTTTTGCAGCACTCATAAAAACCTCAAAAACTGATCAGTTAATAACTAAGTGTTTTCATTATTAATTGTAAGCGATCTTGTTAGCGTTTTTGATGATGTTATGCGAAAAACTTGATTCATGATAAAATGCTAAATTATATATACCATATATATATATATATACACCATATATATACTTATTGATCCATTTATTTTGTTCATTGATTTTTCCATTTGTTTTGATTACCAATTAAAATTGCACTAATTTACGATGCCTCATATATCAAAAAGATGACAACAAATAAATAAATTACCTAGAAAGAAGAGTCACTTCACATCTCAAGAGGAAACACATGAAGTTATTGAAGTACAGAATGAATCCACATTAAGAACGTGCAAAGAAGATAAGAATATCGGCCAGGAAACACATAAAGTTATTGAAGTGCAGAATGAATCCACATTAAGAACATGCGAGGAAGATGGGAATATCAGCCAGGAAACACATAAAGCTATTGAAGTACAGAATGAATCTACATTAAGAACGTGCGAGGAAGATGAGAACGTCGGCCAACCGGCAAAAAGAGTATATTCTAAAAATTCAAGAGCTACAATCTGGAGGCGAAATAAAAAGAAAAAACAGGAAGAAAATGAGAAAAAAAATAGAAATAAAAATAATGGTATATCATTTGCCACTGAAGCATCGAGTAATATGTTACTCAATACTGAAGCATTGAGTAACATGTCACTCAATGCTGAAACGTCGAATAACATGTTACTCGATGATAAAATATTGAATGACATATTACTTGATGCTTCAGCATCAAGTAATATATCATTATCACAATCATCCTGTGAGGCTCCACAAATTTCTTCATCATCCGTTGATACTGCTTCAATCTTACACATATGTTTAGAAGATATTAGTAAACAGTATCAAATAAAAAAATCGTCAAAAAGCAATACATCAACATATGATTACTTACGTCTATTAAGCATAAGCTGATACATCTAATTATTATTAGATGGACAAGGAAAAATGAATGCTAGTATCCAGGTAGCATGAACACTATGGAATAAAGGCGATTATATGTCAAGGTGTATCAGAAAATAGAGTAATTATTATATAGAATCAGGAGAACTTTTTTCTTATTGCCAAGGAAAGTATAAAAAGTCCATAAGCTTGTTTGATAATAAGGATTTTTTAGATGGATGCCAAGAATGGTTGCAGCAACAATCTCCAGAATCACGATC